TTGAGGTGTCACACTTGGGGCACTAGGCACTCAAGCTTCATGAAGACAAGCACCATCAAGAGGTATGTATTCTATCTTGTTATATTGATAATATTGAATGCTAGATTAGGATAATACCTTGGATGTTCATATTTGCATGTATAATAGGGAAAACATAGATCCAAGGTATTTAGGGTTGCTTGTACACTTAGGAGTGTTAGAATGCTCATAACCCAACACGTAAGTCATACATGCTTAGACCCAAAACCCTAATTTTTAGGGTTCAAGCCGTATATAATCAGCTTAAGTCCCAAGAGCCGACCTATTTATTATCCTCCATTGTCCTAAAACCCTAATCATGTACCCTAATAGCATCTTTGATTGTTGTTGGCCATTTTAGGGTGTATCTTTGGTTTGTTGGTGGCTTTGGTTGAAGAAGCAGTTGGTGAAAAAGCTTTGTTGGAGCTTGAGCTTGTTGATCTAGAGACTAAGCACCTTTCTCAGTTGCAAGAAGGTATAAAGTCTCAACCTTGATCTTTGAATGCTTAGGTCTCTTCATGTTATGGTCTTATGCTTTTTTTCTTCCCAAACTTTGGTCTTGGTGAGTATCGATTACTATAGACCCTTTTATTTGTCCTTTCAGACGTCTTGATGGGTATATAACCATTAAAATGGGACCTTGGACGTTAGTTTTTCTTCATGCATAAGTTATAGTGTCTTTAATTATGGATTAAGAAGTTGGGTTTTTGGTGTAAAGCTACTAATATCCATGCAAAACCATAAAGTTGAAAACTTTATGGCTAAGGACGCTATTTAAGACCTAGATCTGGCTTTGGAAGATAAGGCTTAAAAGATTACGCCCTTGGTTAAGAGTTTTGATTCAGATAAAGCACGCATGACGTACTCCAAATTATACAGTATGTACTCATTAGGGACCCTGATCCTGTTTTGCTTGTACGTCGGGCGTACTATTGAGTACGCAATGCGTACCCAGCTTGTTGACCGATTTTGACCTTCGACCTAATTTCAACCATTGACTTTTTGACCAAGTGGGCCTTGGTCATCTATTTTGACTCGGGAGGGGCATTTTGGTCATTTGACCACTTTAGGGTTGCCGTTGGAGCTTTTGGGCCTTAGGGTCCATTAGTTTGTTGCTTGTTAGGCCTTAGTGGGCCTAGTTAGTTTGGGTCATATTGGGCCTTGGATGATTATTTTGGAATTTGGGCTTTTGGACATTTGGATTGGGCTTTGTCCTTAGGCCAAGTTGGGGAAAGGTTAAAAAGGACTTTTACCCTAGTTTGGACTCCTAATGTGAGTCGGGATCCATATATTAACTAGATGTTATTTTATGATAGTGCGGGGATTTTAGCGGTCCAGCAGCTAGAGATTTTATTTGTGAGATTTAACAATGCAAGGTGAGTTTACTCATCTTGTTTAGCGAGTCTAAGGCACCAATGCCCATCCATTATCAGTTATGCTAGGATACTAGATGTCTGTGTGACTCTTGTATGTATATATGCTTATATGATTTGTATGTTGCGCGGGACCCGTTATATGAGTTTGGGTGGGCCCGTTACACTCAACAGGTGGGGCCCGGTATGCGAGTTTGGATGGGGCTCGTTATACTCAGTGGACGGGGTCCGTTATGCGAGTGTGGGTGGGGCCTGTTACGCTTATTGGGTTGGGCCCATTTTATGTTTGTTTATGTATGGTATGTGATTTTTTTGGAAACTCATTAAGCTTTGTACTTATGGTTTTCAGTTTATGTTTCAGGTACTTCTGGATCGAAATGGAAGAGCCCGAGATGATTGCAGAGCACATACTACCTTTTTCCAAACTTTGAGATTTACTGTGATATGTTCTGATGTATTGACATACTTTGATCTTTTGGGATTGTATGACAATGTTTAGATTAATGCTTTTGATAAATTAAAAATAAAATTTTGGGGTCTTATTTTTGGTACGTTACAGTTTTGGAAACCATTTATTTCCTCATTAACTTCGGATTTACTTGACATGTTTACAAAGGAACCCATGACGGTCAACCCTAAAACAAAACCCTACATATCGTTTTCTATATAAACGACTCTCATTTTAAGGAGAGGCGATCACCTTTTATCTCTCGTTTTTTTTTCTTCATACGGACTCCGAATTCTCTAGCAATTTGGCTTACGTTTTTTGTGCCTAGATTCGTAAGTGTCCCCTTAAGATTATACTAGGCTGTGTTCCTTATAACCCGGACATAAGATGAAAATATCAGTTCAGAAAGTGTTTATATGATCTAAGGGGTATACAGAAATGTAAACCCTACATAATTTCTAACAATATATTTAATTAATATGTGTATATATAATATGTTTTCATGAACTATTAAATTCCATTATGTATTCAATTGGAATATTTCGCACTTTGATGGTATGGAATTTATGAACTAAATAAACTTTTATTCGCACTCAAGGGGTTTAGTGTATTGCATTAGAACATATATGCACAACTATAACAAAAATACACATGATCAAAAGATTATTTGTTATGCAAGTTACCACATCTTTTGCAGTTTGAACTGTAGGTTCCTTCAAATGCTTAATTTAGACCTATAATAATAAAAAAAAAAAATAAAAAAATAATAATAAAAAAAAACAAAAAAAAAAAAACAATGATGGTATGCCCTTTATAAAATGATAACACACTAGTGAGAAGGCATTACATGTATTATAACTCTAATATGATCAAAAGAAACATGTTCCCTTACAACGTATGAATCTATTTCGAGATGTTTGGTTCTTTAGTGTTGTAATAGATGACACTAACATTATCACAAAAGACTAATATAACACCGAACAGATGACAAAAAAAAATGACAAAAAATTCAAGGAGACTGCAAAGTCACAAAGCCTTAACTAATCACAGTGTTCGCAATGTTGAGTATTAGGCTTCAACAATGGAATGAGAAACAAGATGTCTTTTAGACAACCAAGAGACAATATTATTACCATGAGAGAAATAATAAACCACATATACACCACTAAGATTTTGGACATCATTTCCGGTTATCATTAGGGTAAGAGACCAAACGGTCCATGTAGGACGACAAAATGTGAAGACCATGAATAATAGTATAGCATCCTTGAGAGTTCATACAAAAAAAATATCATGTGTTTTTCTATATTTAATATAAGAATCATGAAGTGTATGTAACATAAATTAGTAAAACAAAGAAGTTTTATAAATTGATAAACACCCATGTTATGTTTATAGATATTACTCTTAAATGGAAAATAAATGCTAAATAAAAGTTAGCAATGTATAGTAGAAATACAAAGAGTGTAAATAAAAAAGAATAAAATCATTAATTGGGAGCTAAAACGAAAACAAAAAACTTATGCCCTTTTGAAAATGACATGTTGCTTGTTTTGATAATTAGAGTATGTATGTCCCTGCGTTTGAGGCTATGTAATTTGGGATTAAATGCATAAAATCGATTGATTATTGATATTATAACGTAGCAAGGATGACACGGAAAATATATCAAAATAAATTAACTTAATATGAGTTCGTATGAGAAAATTACATGTATTTGAAATTAAAGAAAAATGTAGCAGTAGTTGATGAAACTACATTGCCTAAATAGATGATCATATAGAAAAACACGAACCATGTTTTTCTAAGCATAAAAACATGGTTTGGTGTAACTAGGCCGAACAAAAATTAAGTTTTTAAAAACTTGAAGTCATTTCATTATGTCTCACAACGTTCTTAAACATTCCAAACTCTCTTCAACCTTTAGAGAGCACAGAGGATGGAGATTTTAGGAATTTTTGATGGTTGAGTTGGAAAAGAACTCATAAACTAAAAGATTCATTGACTCAATGGTAAACACGTTCCAAGTCAAAAAAAAAAAAAAAAAAAAAAATTAGACCATCTAAATAATGATATTTATTATTTAATGATGATGTAACAACTTCACCTGACAAACTTAATCATCAACTCAATCCAAATATGCAAGACAAGTCAATGAAAACCACCACCTGACTTCCTAAAACTTAAAAGGTGAAACATTTCCTCATCAAAAAAAGTTGGGGTAAATTGAAAGTAAGGTCTAAATGCTATGAATTTTTTGATATTAAGATTCTTTTCATTCAACATATCTTTTCAACAGCATTACCAAACAACACTGAATTAGTGAAGCATTTGAATTATTCATGCCTCTTAATGGTTCAGGCCTCTTAATAGTTCGGCACTGAAATATTTATTTTCTATATATCAAACAAAAACTATATGGATCAAAGAACAAGCTAGCTGCACACACAAGGAAAAAGCAAAGAAAGCCAACCAAAGTACCCAGAAAACTGTTGTTGCCTAAAATAGATGACAACACCATTGGTCCATGAAAGAACGTTATCCATGAAAAGGCTAATGATTGAGTTTCCCCGCACAATTGCTTCTTTTGTAAATATATTCTGAAAAACCGCACAGTTTCTAGTCCTCCAAATGCATGTACGATATAGTGTGGAGTAAAGCTAAAGCTTGAATTTTACTATTACTGTATGAAATCGACTAACTATTAATTTTGGACCAAATATTAAAAATAACTATTCCAGGGACATTTTTTTTGCAGTTTCGTCTTTGTAGGACAAAAGGAATACACATTACTCTAAGACCATTTACAAGCAAATTAGTGTGGTTATTTTTATTATTTATTAAATTATACCTGATACACGAGATGCTTTTTTCTATAACTTTAGGAAAATACTTGTTAAACCTTAACTAAACAATTAAAAATACTAATTTAATTAAAAGGGTGACATTCCAACAGGTAACGTGGCTAGCTATATATATGTGATGTGCAACATGAAGTACTCCTATATATATACCTACCATTAATGTTAATCTTAATCAACCTGCAACACTTTCCTCCCTCCTTCTCTCTCTCTCTCTCTCTCTCTCTCTCTCTCTCTCTCTCTCTCTCTCTCTCTCTCTCTCTCTCTCTCTCTCTCTCTCTCAAACACACACACACACACATGGGTTTTCGGAGTAAGAGTTACTCCGTGCAGGTGATTGAGAATTCAGTCGTGCATGCTGACGAACCATGGAATGACCACTGGTTACCCTTTACAAACCTAGACTTGCTTGTTCCACCATTTGATGTTGGCTCTTTCTTCTGCTACAAGAAACCCTCCCATGGGAGTTTCCTCAACATGATAAACACCCTCAAAACTTCCTTATCTCGAACCCTCGCACTCTACTACCCACTTGCTGGTGAGATCCTATGGAATGCAGCTGCCGGAGAGAACCAAATTCACTGCAACAACCGAGGAGTCCACTTCATCGAAGCTGTTGCAGACGTGCAGCTCAAGGAACTCAATTTGTATAATCCTGACGACAGCATTGAGGCCAAATTAATCCCTAAGAAGCTACATGGTGTGCTTGCTATTCAGGTAATGACTTATTTTAACCCATATCTAAAAATAAAAATAAAAATAAAAAAAACACTATTTTAACCTACACTTTCACCACTTATATATATTTACTCCATCCTTTGCTTCTCATGGAAAACTTTTTTACAACTTTTCATGATATGCAGGTTACAATGTTTCCATGCGGAGGCATGGTGTTAGGATGCATGTTTGATCATCGGGCAGCGGATGGATGCTCAGCTAACATGTTTATCTCATCATGGGCAGATATGGCGCGATCCGGAACCCCATCTATGTTGCCTTCCTTTCGGAGGTCGATCTTTAATCCAAGGTCCCCAACCAGTTATTCCTCGTCCATAAACGATGTGTTTGCTCTATATGAACCCACGCCCATTCTCAATAATGAAGAAAACCATGATGGTGGAGATTCTTTACTCATTAATCGTATATTCCACGTTGAGGGTGAGCAGCTTAACAGGCTACAACTGTTGGCGAGTGAAAGTGGGAGTAGGAGGTCGAAGCTAGAGGCGTTCACTTCTTTCTTGTGGAAGCTAGTCGCATTGAGTTTGGAAGAGTCAGGAAATCACAACCAACTGTGTTGTGTTGCTGTTGCAGTCGATGGAAGGAGTAGACTGAGCCAGGGAGATGGAGAAGAGAAAGAAAAACTAACGACTTCGCACTTTGGTAATGTGTTATCGATGCCTTATGGGGAAAAAAGATCACATGTAAGGAATTTATTCATGCGTTAGATAAGTTACTAAAAGATACCATATATACAACACACTTTTATATTCCTGAACATTAGTTTTGATATAAAAGTATGTTTTTCAGCAAAACGATATGTGAAATGGTTATAAATATAATTAATTTTCAATGTTTTTGACATGTTAGGAGTTGATGGAAATGTCATTGAGCAATGTAGCTACGGAGGTTCATGAGTTCTTGCATACTGCCACTGGGAAAGACCATTTTCTTGACCTCATCGACTGGGTGGAAGAACGACGGTCAATGCCACTAATATCGAAGGCTTTTGCTGATGGAGAGACGGCGGTGATGGTTTCATCGGGACAGAGATTTCAGATCATGGACAAGATGGATTTCGGGTGGGGTAAGGTGGCCTTTGGATCATGCCATGTCCCGTCTGCAAGGAAAGACTGTTACGTGATGACGTTGCCCAGTCCAACTAACAAAGAGGATTGGGTTGTCTACATGCATCTCCCAATGATTCATATGAACTATATTGAGGCACATGCTGGGCAAGTGTTCACTCCGATGAATGTTGATTACCTCGGGCTTTGAGTTTGAGACATGTATTGCTTAAAATTGATGTTGACTTTTGTATAAAAAAAATGTTCTTGTGCTATAAGTTAAATAAATATTATTTTCTTCTAATCAGGAGACTTGTCCTTTTAAAGACAACAAAGAATTCACTTATATAAAAGTCTAAGGTTCTATTTGATTTCGGTGTAATCAGGTACAATCAACCGTTTTAGTCTCATTCAGTATGGTTATTGTATTTGATAAGGTAAATTTCACATTTGACTCAGTTGTGCACGGCCAGTCCTAAGAATTTAAATGCTCTGTACGAGCCGGAAAAAAAACACTTACGTCCTAATATGTAACAAATTAATTTATATAAACTAAAGATTTTTTTTCAAACGACGATAAACTTTATAGCAATACACAACAAAATCATAGTGTTTTAATGAGTAATGACATATCGTAACAGCTAACCAATGATCCGTGAAGCTTTTAGCATTCTTGATAGCAAATTGGTTTATCAATTCTTCGTAATCTATATATACTTTCTAACATTTCTTTCTCGATATATATATATATATATATATATATATATATATATATATATATATATATATATATATATATATATATATATATATATATCATTGTCAAACCGCTATGTCTTTCTTGGGTCATTGTGGAGCGTAAGTAAGATTTTAAAAACTTCAATTTCGAAAAGCAACTTTCTGCAGATGCCACCATTACTGGAATTGTCAACAACATACTATATGCAATGCTTGCATTTGGGAAATAATATTTAAGTTTTTTCAAATACTTCAAAACATCTATAGGGTTCCTAAATTCATTTGTTTCCAATGTCCCAAATGATTTTAACTCCATATAAAGTTCATCAGCATCGATATCCAATCTTTCTTCAAAGTTGAGTGTTTTTTCAAGAAGATGACAAGAGGACTTAAGATCTTTATCTTCAATTCCCCTCAAATTAGGTGGAAAAAAAATCAAATAATTTGTCATACTCTTTGAATTGTTCAAATCTTGTCTCAAAAGAGGCACTAGCTTGATCAATAATATATAAGAAATAATTTACTATAGAACTATCTTGAGCTGTAAATGAAACTTCTTTGCTACTTGAACTCTCATCAAACTTTTTTTTTCCATTGAATCAAACTCTTTTGTGGAAATATTTAATCAATACCCATTTTAATAGCAATCTCCTTAGCTTTATCGGTCGATTTTGATACAAGTGTTGGAATAGTGTCCAAGGTCATTAACTGTTGGTAATATTTTTAATAATAGTAGGGTCCTTTTGGGTTTCCCTCAAGACCCAAATTGAGTAGAATAAATAAAGGAGAAATTAGTCTATTAATTATTATGGTTAATAATTAATTAGAAATTAATTGGAAATATATTTTGAGCATTAATTAACAGTTTAATTAGTTAAAGGGTTGAATGTTCATTAATCGATAGTTGGTTAATCAGGAATGTTCTAGAACCTTATGGAATTAGGGTTGGATGAAAATCACTCCATCCCACATGGGAAAGGAGTGAAATTTCGTGGTTAGGCCTCCATCCTACATGAAAAAGGAGTACTAAACCCTAGTAGGCACCCAAGGCTATAAATAGGGCCTTAGGGATTTCATGTCTCCTTGCACCATGACTTGAAGTATTCGCCAACCCTTCTTCCTCCCCCCCCCCCCCTCTTAGGGACAATTTCTAATCGCTTTGGGTTTGTGAAATTGACCCTTCTCCTAGTTAATTTTTTATTCCACTCTTTGGTGTCATTGAGTGTGATACCATTAGAGAGATTCTGGTTTGGATCCTTTCATCCAAGCAACTTCATGGAGGTTCAAGATCTCAAGCATGGAGATCAAGGGTTATATAAGAGGTATGTTTTCTTACTTATGTTTTAGCTTTCTAGATTTGATGTAATTAGCATGAAGTCATAGATCCAAAGGATGCATGTACACTTAGGGATATCGTTGTTTCGATTTTTTCCGCTGCCTAGTTTTAGAGTGTATATGATGCATATAAAACCCAACAGTCATATCAGTGCCATTGGTTCATGGTTACCTTCACCCTAGATCCATGTTTTCTGAAAATACTTGTTTGAAATTGAATGGTACAAGGATTGTTGAAAAATTCGTAATTGATAAAAACTCTAGTCGTAGCTCACGATGTGAACAAGGGAGTCACGACGTGAGCTCGACAGAATTAGGGTTTTCGGATTTTTTCCATTTTTCAAATATGAAGGTTTATTAAATATGGATAAATACCTAAATTTAAGTTGTTTTTTGAATCTGAAAAATGGATAAATATTATTTAAATGTGTTTATTTGAATTTGAATATTTATTTGATAATGGATAAATATTATTTAAATGTGTTTATTTGAATTTGAATATTTATTTGATAATTGATATATATATATATATATATATATATATATATATATATATATATATATATATATATATATATATATATTATTTAATTGTGTTTATTTGAATTTGAATATTTATCTGTTATGAATTTAAATATTTAATACTTTTAATTTAGATTTATAAATTTGAATATTACACCCTTATGATTTATTAATTGTTACATTGCGTTCTCACAATTAATTAGAATTAATAATAGACAACTAAATTTAAAGAGTTTTAAATTTACCCCTTGTATTTATATATATTAGAATTGTGTCTACTATATGTATAAGAAAGTTACAACATGCGCCCTCGCGTGTTTAAACATTGACATTGTCAGTCTTACCTCGACTAGGCTCACCCGTTCTAATGTAAGGGTTTAAGGAGGTCTCTTTGTTTCCTAATGAGGTCGGTTTTTAATATGTTTCGCGCTTACCACCCTCACCACCCTATTGCATTTTAAGAATGGAGTTACCGAAAGGGTTTGATAATGATAATGGTCAATCTAAAACTATTCTAAATACAAGTATAAAACAAAATCTCATTTTATTAATAGAATGTGAGTTTATATTATCGATGAAAATTGCACATTCTCTTTATATTATGTTGGTAGAGCTCGTGTGGTTAACACATCAATATAGAATATAGTCGAGAATGATATGGAACTCGTGAATCTCAAGCGTAACCTAAGCCAGGGAGCATAAGATTTTGCAAGGTTAATTCTCAATCTATTTAATATGAATCTTATATTATCCATAAAAGTTGCACATTCTCTTTATAACTTGTTGATGGAGTTAGCGTGGTTAACCGGCACATCAAATTGAGAGTATGGGTAGAGAATGATGTGGAACTCACGAATCTCAAGCGTAACTTGAACCGGGGACCATGCGATTTTATATGGTCAATTCACCATCTGTTTAGTGATCCGCAACGACCCCGTCATTGAATTTGATATGAACATAATCTGAGATTAACATGCCATTGATAGTCAATGAATCTCAAAGATCTAGGAATTTCGTGGTGATCGAAATTGGCAAAGGGCTTTGCCTACCTAAATAACTTTATGGTGTGTTTACGACATCCCTTTACACATCATAGAGCCAAATATGGATCCAAGCCTTCTAAAATAATTTAGGGTGATTATTTTCTAAGGATAAGTAAAAACAAACTATAATGGAATTTGTCATTGAATGATGTCTATAGCCTTATCCACTAAAATCTAATGTTGTAAACCTTTGAGAGGATTAGCTATGAGGATGATCAATTTTGTCAATTTCGTAGTTTGGGAATAGTTCTCATAAACGAAAGGAAAGATCACGTCTTTGTTAAAGCTCTTCCTAGGTTACTTCAAACATTGCATTCTAAATTGTTAGAAAGAGCAATTATCAAATGTATGTTGTAAATTGACATATTGAAGTAAAATGGAATTTCCTTGAGTTAGGAGTTGACTATGGTTAGTCGATTAGCTAACATGTACATATGATCAGTTCATTAGAATTTTGATATGAACAACTTGGAATGTCCATTAAGGAGTTGTGTAGCATGTTGAGGTTTCCTTTTGGAACTAGCATGGCCAATCATAGAAACTCATACTTCAAAACACTCCCATATTTTACTATCATGAATAGAAGTGTCAAGAAGAAGAAAGCCAATTGCCCACAGTTTAAAAGGCGATTAGTGTGGGTATACCTAATCTAGGCCCTAATACCTAGGACAAAGGAAGGCTTATTCTAAGACATGTTCTGATAGCTGCTTGTTTCCATAACAAGAAAAAGACTAAGAAATCAAACTTGCCCAAATGTATATTTGAGGTGAAAGGATTGGAAACTGAAGAAGTTAAAATTGATCATGGATCACGAGCCCGTGCTACTTTCCATTGGATCAAAAGATAACTAGTTCTTCCATGATTGTTATTCAATCAAATATATGGATTTATAATGCCGTCAAAACATTACTTCTAAACCTTGAGTGTTTTGCTAAGGATTAGTGTTGATATTTGCAAGAGTGCAGTCACTAAAATGAAGTAAGAAGACTAAAACATGGAAAAGATAATTTGATCATGAATGTCAAGCCCTTGCTACATTCATAGGATCAAAAGACAACTCTTTTCAACATGTTTAGTTTATGGTATTATAATTGAAATTGTTTATACTATGATTCATGAGATAGTTCTGACTTATTTAAATGTAGAGCATTCTAACATGTTAAAAGAAAGTCATGAAATCTGTGAAGCTAGTATAGTAGCAATAGTTCAAAATTGATTCCAACATTTGAATAAGGTATATTATTGTGAATATCTATTGATGTTAGTACAACTAATGGATTGTTGAGATTGACCATAATAAGTACTTATTCAAATACATCCAAATGTTTGGGTGAAATGTATTTGTGGAATCATAGTATTGGATAAATAAATGAGAAATGCATTACCAAGTATCCAGTTGGATCAGATTTTGGATATCCTTTGACCTCGAGTCTTATGATAAATGCAAATATTGTTTATCAAGATAGATGATGAATGCGTCACTGGGTGATGAGAGTATCTGTTGGAATTAGTTCACACTAATGGACCGTTCAGATTAACCACGATACATAGTGAGACCAACTTCGTATGAATG